CAATACAAGTTATATCTAAGACACTCACCAGATAATTCTTGAGCAGATCACCATCCTTTCCTTGGAATAATAGCGAATTCTGTTTGCCCGGGTACCACGTCGCGATCAGATCAAAATTTACGCTGGTAAACCTCTTAGCTTTACCACCAGGTGATGACCAATTGCCTCGTAGGCCGACAATATTTTCAACGAAATTCTTTAGTGATTGAAGATCCTGCGACCATTTAATTCGGGTTCCGTCATACGTTAAGTGACCACAACCTTTCAAAGACCTAATAATGTCTAAGTCAAGGTTCAGAGACGTCAAATTTCCGATTTTTGTAGAGCTCGAAAAGTCGTGACCGGCGGCCATTTTGATTATATGATTCTAGTACAATAAATCACTTTGTTTCACTATTGTACTATAAGTACAATAAATCACTACGAACATAAATCGTATACACCCCCCGGAAAGTTTACTCTATGACTGACTTAATGAATGACTGACTGATTCGTTTGAATTTTCCCCACTAAGAAACTTCACACTAATATTACGAAAGTCACCGAACTGTGGAATCGCATAAAAAAAATCGTATATCGACCACTCCCATAAACGTCTACGACCGCGCCTACATATTTTTGCATGTTTACAATTCTAATTTTAAACAGCCAATCGACGTTTAATTGTAATTGTTACCAAGAACCTGATTGGCTGTTCAAAATTAGAATTGTAAACATGCAAAACTATGTAGGCGCGGTCGTAGACGTTTGTGGGAGTGGTCGATATACGAATTTTTATGCGATTCCACAGTTCGGTGACTTTCGTAATAAACGAATACATACACCGGCTTTTCGCGTTCCTGTTTTTAAAGATTCCGGCTTTTCGCGTTCATGTTTTTAAAGATTTCGGCTTTTCGCGTTCCTGTTTTTAAAGATTCGGCTTTTCGCGTTCCTGTTTTTAAATATTCCGGTTTTTCGTGTTCCTGTTTTTAAAGATTCCGGCTTTTCCCATTCCTGTTTTTGAAGATTCCGGATTTTCGCGTTCCTGTTTTTAAAGATTCCGGCTTTTCCCATTCCTGTTTTTAAAGATTTCGGCTTTTCGCGTTCCTGTTTTTTTTCCCGTTCCTGTTTTTAAATATTTCGGCTTTTCGCGTTCCTGTTTTTAAAGATTCCGGTTTTTCGCGTTCCTGTTTTTAAAGATGTCGGCTTTTCGCGTTCCTGTTTTTAAAGATTCCGGCTTTGCCCTTTCCTGTTTTTAAAGATTACGGCTTTTCGCGTTCCTGTTTTTAAATATTGTGGAAAATGTGCCACTTCATTAAACGTAATTGGCAATGCAGTTGTGAAAAAAAATTATTGCAGTGTTGAACGTTTAAAAAACAAATCCTGTATGGGTCCGCCCCTTATTGTACTAATGGTCCGCCTCTTATTGTACTAATGGTCCGCCCCTTACTGTACTTTTCGTGATAAGTGCCGCAATCCTTCCACGATCAAACACCTATACAGTAGAGCGTTTGCACTCATTCCCCAGGGACCAACTCAATAAAAGCCATGGCGGCCATGTTGGTGTTCCAGATAAAGAGTCTAATTAAAATTCTTTTGAATTGGAACACCAACATGGCGGATGTGACGTCAAATTTGTAACTGCTCATAATCTTGTTTATCACTGCACAAACTGGCTATCACTGCAGTTTAAAATAATGATAATCCCTGAATACAAAACAAGTACAAACAAATTTTATTTCAATTTTCTCACATTTATTGCTCAGGCGATAGACAAATTACTACATGCACCTGGGACAAAAACAGAATCACAAGTAAATAGGTCAGTCTTACCATAGTTAATAGAATAGATGGTTTGGAAACTCATTAGAATAACAATATAACTCATTATCTATGTTAGTCAACGTTTATTCATAAATCGTGTCGTTCACCGTCACGTGCGTATTGTATTTTTAACCAACAAACCAATAGCAATGTCTTAGGAAAGTTAGCTATCCGTGACTCGAACAATAGGGTAAATTGGAAATTGTTATTGGTGGATTTGGCAAAAATACAATACACACGTGACGGTGAAGGACCAGATTTATGAATAAACGTTGACTAACATAGATAATGAGTTATATTGTTATTCTAATGAGTTTCCAAACCATCTATCCTATTCACTATGGTCTTACACAGGTTTTAATGCGTGCTAACGTATGATTCGGTGGAGAATTTGGTATTCAGGAAAGCGAGGCAAACTATAATAGAACTTCAGCAGTGATCGCTCTGTTCAAAGGCATCTGCAGGTTATTGTGAAAACAGGTCAGGCAATAATGCTCTGAATTGCATTCCTTGTGATACAAATGACCTGTGAAAAAAAATAACAGCAATATTACGGGAGTCGTATTTGTGATCTACAGGGTGTCCCAAAAACCCCCGAAACTATTGAAATAACGTATGGGCGTTTGCACTCATTCCCCAGGGACTTACTCAACAAAAGCCTTGGCGGCGATGTTGGTGTTCCAGACAAAAGAGTCTGATTAAAATTATTTTAAATTGGAACACCAACATGGCGGCTGTGACGTCATGTGCAAACGCTCTATTGTTTAGAATTTGAATGCCTCAGCACTCTGCTGAACTCACAAGTGCATAAAACAAGTGCATAAAAGCTTGACATAACTCATAAGTAAATTTTATGCATAAAGAAACGGTTTAAAAGAATGTTTGTAAGAGAGATTTATATAAATACGCAGCGCTATAACAATGAAAACTTGTTCGGTGGTGAGTTGAACCATTTTCTCCCGATTTGATAATATGACTAATGTATAATTTTATCATTTTTGCTAAGTTAGTCTCTTTTAGAATTAAAGAAGCTGCTTTAACAAAGATATTTTAATATTTGCGCTTTACAAATTTATATCAGCGCTATAGCGACACTTGTTCTGGGGTGGAATGTCTCTTTTAAAACTCTGGATTTACCGTTCACAATAACCAAATTTTACCAAGCAATCTCCTCCTGAAAGATGGCAGATTGTTTAAGCCCGTTCTCCACTAGGCGAATTTGTTCGCGCAAACAGTAAAAAAGTAGGAACTGATCCAACTTTTTCGCGGCGAATTTTTTCGCTGACCAATCACATTGCCAAGATTTGTTTTCCGCTTCGCGTTGCGCGAACAAATTCGTCTAGTGGAGAACGGGCTTTACGAACTCTGTTAAAGTTGAAAAACGGTCACGATGTTCCCCAAAAAGCTCACCACGTGGTACATAAAATCAATCCCGCGCGTGCAAATATCGAGGAAGCGGAAGAACCAAGTTAACATTTAACCAGTGTCGAGATTTGGGCATCTCGTTCGTTCGATGGAACTGATAGTGAATGGTTATTATGCATGTCGATGAACTTTTCGAAGGAAATTTAGATACAACTCTCGGCCTCACCAGGAACATTTGCAAAAAATGCAACTAAAAAAATGTGCTCAAATAAATGAAAACAATAGACTCATAATAAATATTCTTATATACATAGATTCCTATATAGATGAAACTATTGTTATCATAAAATCTCATTTTTAGTACTCTCCCTAAACAAGCTATACTACAAATAACATACACATGTAAACTCGAACGGGTCAAATAGACGTTAAATTTCCGTCGAATTAAAGTCATTAGTGTAAATGTTTTGAAACGCGAATGTATTGTAAGCGCAGGGCTGCAAATAAATATTTGACAGGACATTTGTCCGATCACTTTTACAGGTAAACTGCGTGAAGCGTTCCTTTTTTGACTTCGTAACTCATTTGGAATTTTCCTCATTAGCTTTGCAAATTTGAAAAACTCTTTGCAAATCCCTTGAGGGAATTTGCAATGTTCCTATCGGCTGTTGAAATATTCCAAACTTCATTTTAAATTTTCCTAACTTCCTGTTTTAATTTCCTAACTTCCTGTTCTGTTCTGAGCGTTGTTATTGGTCGATTATTTTTGTTAGCCAATTGCAACGCCCAGAACAGAACAGGAAGTTAGGAACTTGTAACAGGAAGTTAAGAACTTCTAACAGGAACTGAGGAAAATAGCAACATTGCAAATTCCCTCAAGGGAGTTTTTTAAATTGCAAAAGTAATGAGGAAAATTGCAATCAATTTAGAAACTCAAAAGAGGAACGCTTCACGTAGTTTACCTGTAATTTTGGTCGGACATAACTTGAATTTGGTCGGACAAAAACCAAACACCACTAAATTTGGACGGACATATATACGTCACAAGATATATATAAGTCACGAGACAAGTATGTATAGCCATTCCGGCGCAATGTTACTGTAAGTAAAATGCTAGAATACCTTGTAAATTTTATTACAAAATGCAAATTGAGTGAATTTGCAATCGGACTTTGTCACAGCAAAAAAATGTAGCTATAATGTGACAATTTTTTTGTGATCGGACCAATGTCCGATCAAAATTACTTTTGCTCGGACATTTGCCAAATTTAGTCGGACATTGTCCGATGTCCGACAGTAATTTGCAGCCCTGTAAGCGTCATCACCTTAACGCGACGCAAATTATGCAGCTTATGTATAGTGTGAATCAGAGCTTGTCAATCTAGTTGCGCCTACGGGATAGAGTTTTTAGTTAGTTGCGTGACTCTAGGAAGGTCAATCCTCTAGTACGTTCTGTTGTGTAAGGACAAAGTTTTGTATCTGTGGACGCTATCGTGATAGCTGTTGGTAAATTAGATAGCTGTTGGTAAATTATTTCTATCCACATTGTATTCTACGTACTCGCAGTGGTTTTCAATCAAACGGCAGGTTGGAACTTTCTTGGCAAAATTGTCGTTGAACGTTTTCGTTTCCTATTTTCTTTCTTGCGTCGAAAGAATAATTATGCATTGCAGTTTAAAATTAACAAGTTCATTTACTCTTTATTGACTGATACCGTAAAATTGTTCTTTGCTTGGCGTTTGCCGTATAAACGCGAAGCTTAAACTCCCTATTGATTGAATGCTCACGGAATTTCTGTCATTTATATGCGACAAACCATCAAATATACTGTGACGATATCGTCACACTTAATATCGTCGAATACGTATCACTTATTTACTGAGACCGAGGGAAACAGTGTGTTTTGTGGACCGGAGATCGTCCGCGTTGTTGCCCGCCGTTGTTGCCCTCGAGGGGCCACAAAACACACTGCTTTCCCGAGATATCAGTAAGTAAGTGTTTTGTTATATAGTATATAAATGTCAAAGTATTTATAATTCACCGGTTATTGGAGTGAACTTATAATTTGAAACCAAAACTAGGTAAATGGAACGCCGTAAATGTTTAATAAAAATTTAAAAAAATGAACTTTGGAACTTCATGGTTGACACGCATGCGTATTGCACCAATTTTATTATTGACCGGTCAATAAATGTTTCATTGTGGACCGGTTGCCTCTTAACATGACGTTTTGTGGACCGGCACGTGATACGGTTTTGACCAATCGGCAAACAGAAAAATTGAACTTTGACACTAACTACCGGGTGGGGCAAAAAAAAGTACGACTCTTTGAATTGGTATAACATCAGAACTAAAAGAGCAATGACAATAAAACTCGTTTATTGGCATTCAGCGATGTCTAACTTAAATTTTGATATATGCCATGCACATTTCCATGCCATATTGACAAAGATACGTGCATTTGAACAAGAGTAACATTTTTGAAACTGAGAGAATTAAGCTAAAAACGG